CCAATGTGATCACACCTTATTCCTGTAGATGGCGGTAATGCACATAGATTGCAAACTGCCAATAAAATTCACAGAAGAAGGAGAAGAAGAAGAAGAAAAAGTCAGTTTGTTTGGAAGAGGGAAGCATGGTTTTATTCTAGCACCTCCAGCAACACTCATTGGAGTCCTGATTGATAAACATTGTTTCCAGTTCAATCATGTAAGTTTTGTTTCTCCTTATGTTGTGCATTTGTTTTCACTTGATGTATATAATTTATGGGTGGGCTCTCTAGCTAATGCCAGATTTATTTTATTTTTTTGTAGATGGACTCTTTAAATGTTACCTTAAATTTTGGGGTGTTGAATCAGTATGAGTTGCTAAGGCTCTACTGATATGGACATCAAGTGGTTTCTACCCAATGGATTGTTCTCACTGCATTACCTTGTGGATTATCAAATATCCCAAGTACAAGGATGTGTCTGTGGGCTATCTGTTTTTTCTTGGAATATTGGAAGAGCACTTGACGGGGTATTTTCTATTTTTGTGTGAGTGGGTTTTTTGATTCATCATCAACGGGACTTGGACATCATCATAAACATTGACTACTTAAATTTTCATTGTAATGATTCCATACCCAAAGAATCACTCTATTTTTTTATTTTATTGTCATTCGTTTTCTATTGATTAAGCCTTACTTTACAGACCATCTGTGTGTATACTGCTTACATACGCTAGATTGGTTTTATTTCAATTCATTTTCATATAAATGTACTGTTCTGTTTATTTCTTCTGGTTTTCCTAACACCTTCAATTTACATAAAGGTATACAAAGTTAATTCTTGTCTTTGTTTGTGGCTACACACTGGGAAACATACCAAGATATTATTTAGCAGCGTTAAGTTAATAGTTGGTGGGCCCCTCCTGTTGTTCATATATATATATATATACCTGCATGCCACTATTGTGGACAGTGGTTGTAAGTTAAGTTTACCTGCTGTGAAATTCATCCAGTTCGTGTTGAATTTTCTTTTGCAACTCTTCCAGCTTACTCTGATCATAAGTGGCTTCAATTTATTTTTCACATTCGTTGAGAGAGTTCTCAATAACAGCCAGTTCTTTAGTTGAAAACTCAATGATCAAAAGCATCAAATCCAAAGAACAATGGCTGAGAATCTCACTCCATCTTTTAAAAAAACTCATCATCTTGACCAATTGTAGGAGCTTTTTCTATATGCAACCCTCTTGGTATTCTTCCCTTGCGGTAATATTTACTCAATGTTTTATCATGAGATCATAACAAATATATTTGTGATTTCTGAGTTTATCTTCCAACTGGTTCGCTGACTTTTTTCTGAGATGGTTTGATCAAATAAGTCACCAAAAATTAAGATCCTAGACTGACATGGGGTTATTTTATTATTTTATAATGTTTCCTGGGTTGCCCTTATAATGTTAGTATGTTTTTTTTAGATCAAAACAGTCATAATTTAGAAATAAAAGGCATTTTTCCTAGCCTGATTTTAGCCTCTGATTTGAACGCTCTGTTTGAAGGGGCGTGTCTGCTGTGGGATTCAGTGTAGCCAGCCACTGCTGTGATTGGCTGACATGCTTGCATATGAAATAGCTATGTATTACATGTGAAACTCTCTCGAATACTTTTACTACAGCTATTATACGTTTTTACTATTACAGCTATCGAAATTAACGAATCGTGAGAAGTATTTAAAGTATTTAGATCTATTCCCATCACATAAAATGTTGCCGTGATGAGCATTGAGCAAGCAGATGACAGTCTGTTGATCGCGAGAATCAAGATCTTATCATTGCAACGCAGTTTCTGCACTCTCTCTAATGCTTTCACCAATGCAAACACGATGATGTACATACAGTAAGAGCTTCGTTGAGCAGTGTAACGTGCGTCATTGATTTCATAACGAGTTGTCCAGATAAACTCGCGCTGTGTGGAAAGGTTGTTCTTTGATCGCTTTCTGTATAATTTGTTCAGAATTTAAATAAGATTATTTTCATCCTACTAAAAGAAACGATGTGAAGTTGATATTTTAGTCACTGGCTTGACTTACTGATGCATAAACAGTATTGAACGATTTTGAGACAAAGATTAACTGACCTGTCTGAACTTGAACAATTAGGCTACACATCAGAAATTGTTGCTTGGTAGCTCGATCGATTTATTTTCAGACGTTCATCGAGTTGAGGAAACAGTCGTCGGTGAAATGTTTGGACCATACAAAACTTTGGGAAGTTGTGTCGGCGCATTTCCAGAGAAAATAAAGTTAACCCATTGTTTCTTCAGAGGCTCGGATGAAGGAACTAAAAAATACTTTTGTGTTCATTTGTACATCCGAACACTGATCAACTGCCATGCTTCGCTCATTTGCAAGCCATGATATCTCTCGAGGAAAAACTCAAATCTCAAAGCTATTTCTCTAGGAAAAACTAAAATCGCGCCGGCGCGTTCGTATTTCCTGTTCCTAGCTCGTTTTCTCATGGGCGGGCCAAATTCTCCGGGCGGGCAAAGCAGAGAAAGGGGAGGTAACCTTTCCTCGTTATGACGTCATAACGAGGAGATTCAAGATCAGCGCGTCTGAGCTGCAGAGAAGAGAAAAATAGCCAAAGCTCGGTTTACACCGATTGAAAATTCTAGACACGAGGGGACCAAATACAGGCTAGGGGAACTAATATTAATGCTCGTTTTTTTTCACATAGCAGAAAAATAGACTTAAAGTACTACCATCATTTCTGTTCATATAGAGTTAAGAAATATGAAAAAATAATCTGGTAAATGTCTACTTTTTTATGTGCCCACATACAATCGAAATGAAATATTGTGCTTTTGTAAAATAAAGAAAATAAACAGGGTGTGCGTTCTGCCTCTCAGTCACCGTGAACTTTTTTTCTGGAGCACGTCTCTAATCTTCAACACAACTCAGCTAATACAGTACTATTCACCCAGCCATAAGCAATATATCTTTTAAATCATTTGAGTTTGTACTTTTAAATGATCCGATTCAAAACTAAAATTAATATTCTCCGTTTATGTCATCTATATAAAAAGAGAGACGTGTCAGCCCGTCTCATTATCGTTCTCGAGCTGATTATCTCTGGTAATGTGACACGCCCACGGAGAGCACGCGCTATTCAAACGCAAATATGTGAAGCAACACATTGAGACGCGTTAACGCCCATAAACTCTGAAAACACACATTATTTTTTAGTCAGATTAATCTACTGTCGTCTTGCGCGGCTATATGAGGAACAATCCTGGGACATTTACCACTGGGTTTATTTTCACTTTGAGGATGAACAGATTCAGCTGAGAAGTAAGTGTTTTTTGCAAGTGCTTTGTTCTAATCGCGATATAGAATAACGTAGTGTCTGTAAACGGAAAAATAGCATACTGTTTAAAAATGTGAATCATGTTTGTGTGTGTGTGTGAATGAATGAATGAACGCACAGATACACACTGTTACAGACTAAATAACAGACAACATTTCGTTGACTCGTTTTGGATAAAGTTTTTACTCTAAAATAGACATCAAATAAGCTTTTTTTTAGGAGTTTCTGCTCATATGTTAAATATATAGTATGTTTTGTCAATAAACTAATCAACTAAGATGTTATAGTGTTTGTTCAAGCTATATCAAAATAATGAATCCTCAACTTTGAAATATGTATGATCAAATTAAGACATTTATGGAGAAAGACAATTTTCTTTTCAAGATGTTTCCAACTCTAACTTTGAACTGAAATAAAACCATGTCTATATGGTGAAGGGTGTGTGATAGAAGTGTCCAGACGTATGCACCCTGTATTTTCCTTATATAAATCCAAACAATCTAAAAGCCATTCTTTTTTAAATCTCCTCATTCTTTGTGCAAGGCTATGATAGGGCCTGATAGCACCTAATAGGGCCATTATGGGGAGGGTCTTTGTCTTTCTCAGGTGTGGAATGCCACACGTATTAATGAGAGATCACGCCTCCTGCATAAAGCTTTCTCAAACAAAACACGTCATTAAAAATGTAAAAGACTTTATTGACTTATCTGAATGAGTAGTCAGGATGATTCTCACATAGTTTTGGAGCAAATATTCTAGGCTATGTGATACAATTTTCAAAAGTCTTGTGAAGAAATAATCAATATGTGTTTTGTGGTCTTATTTCAGCAACTTTCATTTTTATTTTTTTCAATAACCACGCATAAACATTATTCTATTAAAAATACAAACATGTACATACATGTTGCTCAGATATCATGGTAGCCAAGTTTGTGCTATATAGAGTGAATTTACACCTTTGCCATTAACATGTTTATAAATAACTGAAAAAAGCACAAATGTCAGTGCATGTCAAAACATCCCAAGGGCCCCAAAAACACTCTGGTCCCCAGAGGGTTAATGTTAAAAAACCTCAGAAAGCGTTTTCACTCTTGTAACTGTAGATTCATTAACTTTCTCTAAAGACATCTTTGGTGGCAGCTCATGATTAAAAAGTTTAACTCCGATCAAAGAATGGATTACAGATCTAATATTATTAATATTTTAACTTAAATACTGTAATTTTCAGTATTCAGCAACTACTTTTTTTTTTTTTTTTTTTTTACAAATTACATTATCATAAAAATATAATTGAAATGTCAGGCTGAAAAGTAACATGGATTTGAAAAATCTAGTATTTTGATATTTGCCCCTTTTGCTTGAATGACTACAGAACTTGAGCAGACATGAACAAAATCCATGCTGATCCATGTTTTCCAGCACGATTTGAGAATTTTCAAAAAATATGCCTTTTTGTACTGTAAGGAGTTTACAAGGTCATTGTCACAAATTTACTTTGATTTGATCTAGGAATGGCAGAATCATACTACATATATTCATTTGTTTATTATTTTTTTATAGTCCTAAAACTGAATTACTAAATATTTTCTTTTACAGCCCACTGTACATTAAAATAGTTTATTGTAAATATATTTAAACATATAATATCAAAATGTTGACTTACTGAAAGTTGACTTTGTCTACTTGAAATCGAGTTTCAAAAATCCCTGAAGTCAAAACACGGCACCGTAGCAAATCCTGAAAGAAATGCACAAACTCTGTTCACTGACACTAAACACTAATAATAAAAAAATCCAGTGTGACAGTGCCCTCACCTGGTCTGTCGGTGTGTAGTCACTCTGTCGTACAGACTCAATTCTGTCCAGGAAGCTGAAAATAGGTACAAGACAAATTAACATTATACACCACACAATGGTTTACAATAATAAACACAATTATAATAATCCACTATATAATATGATTGATATTAAAACTTTTTTTTTTTTTTGAATGGGGTTTGGGGTTGGAGTTTATCATGAAATTCATTTTATGTCATTTATACTGGGTTCACAAGCACTGCTCTGATTGACTGGATATGAAAAGACGTGTGTGTGTGTGTGTGTGTGTGTTTAGTAAACCTAGTAAACCCTATGTAGTGAGGACCAAATGTCACCACAAGGTTAGTAATACCATTTTTTTTTTTGACCGTGAGGACATATTATTTGCGTGTTTATTTTACATGAGAAAACAGATAATACATCATACTAAATTATTATTATTATTATTATTTTAAAATGTAAAAATACAGAGTTTTCATTTAAATCTAGTGTTTTGCACATGTTTCTGTAATGGGCAGGGTTTGGCGATAGATTAAATATCATTAACCTGAAATAAAATCAATATATAGTCAATTATATATCACTTTATACAATACAGTTTGTTTCAAAGCAGCTCTAAAAAGACAGTAGTAAACAGTTGTTATTTAGCTGAAATCAGTTTAGTGTTGATTGTTTGGTTCAACTGTGTAGTTCATCAATTATGAAATGAGTTCAATTCATCTATAAGCAGCTCTGGAGGCAAAAGTGATGTCATCAGCTCAGCTCAGTTCAGTTCTAATCCAATAGTGTGAGTGCATTCAAGTTAATAATATTGCTGAAAATTAAGTGTCCCCAACTAAGCAAGCCAAAAGGCGACAGTGGCAAGGAACCCGAACTCCATTGACAGAAATGGAAAAAATAAATAAATGTAATTTATAAAGTAATACATTTATAGTGAAACAAACGTGTGTGTGTGTGTTTATCGTATTACTAATGAATTTGATTAAGCGCGTGAGATACAGATGTGTGTATATATATATATTACACCAAACAATTAGTCACAAATGCTACACTTTCTGCACTAACTACCTAAAACATGAATTTTAAATGATTTTTTCATTTTCTAAAGTTTTATTGTCTTGTGCTGTGTCAGTGTTGGCCTCCAGGTGGAGCTCTAGCACAGATCACTTCAGCCCTGCTTCCGTGCCTTAAATTTTTGACCTGACAACTACATATATTTACATATCTTTTGCAACTGTAAAGGTTATGAGGTGAGCACTGCAAGTTGTTAGATACCGTATACCGCTACAAAATAACCTGTTTTTGAAATGCACATCTTGCTGTATCTGTATGGGGGTCAAAGAATAAAGTCATTTTGGGCTAACATTATCCGCCAGACAGCACATATTTATGAATTCATGCTCAATACATATATGAATGCATGAACAATTTAAAGCATATTATCAATGTCTTTTACCGGTAGTTGACCTGATTCACTACAGCAGCACAGTGGAGTTGAGCTGACCTTTAATAAAAGGGTGGCCCCTTTATGCTGAAGGGGAAGTGTCAATCGATATTTCCACCTTTTGAATGGCCACTTTAAATGGAGCGGCCTACATACAAAATACACGCAGATAAAGACAAAAATAAGGTATCTACAGAATATATTGGGATATATAAATTGTGGTTTCCAGGGCTGGAAAAGTTGGATGGACAAATACTTAGATGGACACATAATCAGATCACAAAAATCATTCAAAGCGACTTTGGCAGCATGAGTCATGACTGATTTTTTTCACCATTACTGATGTCAAATTCATCTGCCCCTTCACAGCATGTACAAAAAGATTAATGCACAAATAAAAAACTAAAAACTGTGTTATGGTCTCTCCTTGTGTGTAGCAATTTAGGGAATATCTGTGGTATATGCAGACAAACATGAAAGAACTGATAGTCTGTACCAGCATGCTGGTCTGTTATTGTACCCGCCCCTAAACAAAACAAAACTGTGATTGCCATTTTACATGGCCGTCAGGTGGCCTCTTCCTGACTAAGTGGGCTGTCTTGCAGTGGCTATAGAGCCTAGACCTTAAATTGTTAGACAAAAGTCTGGCTATGCGAGATTAGGTGAACCCTAAACTGCAAATTTGCATGTGACCAATAGAGGAAATGACCATGTCACAATTCACTGCACAGCACCCTTCGCAATTTTTTTTTATTTGTTAGCATAGCAGCTTAATAAAATTAAGTTGTGCCCATTAGCTGTGACTGTTTTAACAATATAGGTTCATGCTGCAATGTTACAATATAGTACAACCTCTTGAAACGTATAGCTTAATTCTAAAAGAAAAAGAACAAACGACTATAATCAGTGTAGACAACATAAAAAAGACCTCAGCCCTGTGTTTGCTGACTGAAGGAGAGGAGTGCTGAACACCATCTGACGTGTAGAACTTCATTTAACTTAGGCATGTTTGTTATGAATAAGAATAACTCAATATTAACTGCTTAACACGCAATTCAAAGTTTTTATAGATTTCAGTCTTACTGTAAGTGTGCCTTTTCTGATTTGTGTAAACTTTTTACTTTTTACTTTCATAAGATCTCCCAATGTATGTACATTAACAGAATGTTCCGCAATCAAAACCTACATCTGATATCACTGCAATATTTGCCTGTTTAATTGTGATTGGTCATTTTTCATAAATTTAATTAGACACTAAATTTAACATTGCAATGCCCAGCACTGTTTGTTGATTCTCAAGTACAGCAGACAACAAACAATAAGTGTTACAATTCTTTTGCAGCCGTTCATGCACTGTTATCTTCTTCAGTAAATACACATTTACACACTGCCCTGTTCCAGCTGCCATGTGAACGGATCGCTAGACACAGATTCACAGCAGTAATGCAGCTGGTGATCACACATCAATATGCACACAGACTGACAGCATCAGTCACACCGACATCTTGAGTGTCTATCCTGTCTTCCTGTCTCACCCTCTCTCTCTCTCGGTCTCACTCTTTCCTGGCAGACCACAGAGTTTATGTGAGGAGAGACAAGACCATTTTAAATCCTGACAGCTCTACTAAACACATGAAGACATGCACCTCTGCATATCTCTCTCTCTCTCTCTCTCTCTCTCTCTCTCTCTCTCTCTCTCTCTCTCTCTCTCTCTCTCTCTCTCTCTCTCACACTCACACTCACACTCACACTCACACTCACACTCACACTCACACTCACACTCACACTCACACTCACACTCACACTCACACTCACACTCACACTCACTAAAAATAGCTGTAGGACTGGTTGTCTAACAGTAGTCCATGACAGATGAACAGTCATGCTCTAAAGGGGTACTTGCCTGAAAAGTCCACTAAAGTGTCTGAAATAAAACTTTTATTAGTAGGTTATTAGTAGGGATGTCCCAATACCACTTTTTCACTTCCGATACCGATGCCGCAGCTTTGGCTATTTGCCGATACCGATATCAATCTGAGATTTTTATTTTATTCTTGAACTAATACTAATAAAATATAATGGCAGCACTTTGCTCAATTAGCCACCTAAAAATATCTCACTCAAATGGAGAACACTTTTTTGGAGAATACTTACTAGTATATAGTATACTAGTATATAGTCCACAACAACAGTTGATTATGAAAGACTGCCACCCTTTATTCAAACACTACAAAAAATAAATAAATAAATAAATAAATAAAAATACAGGTATGCTACTTCAGTACTTAAAGCTACCAACAGGTTTAAAGTTAATCATTAACAAGCTTTAAAAAAACCCATTGAACCGTGTACTTTTGCCTCCATTCGTTTTTCCTTTTTAACCCGTAAAACGAAAAATGAACAGTTGTTGTATTTTTAAAACGCAAAGTTGAACACCAAAATTGGAATTTGAACTGTACACACCAAATGCTGCGCAAAAAAATAAATATTGACGTATTTTCAGATGTTTGTTTATGACTTTCTGCCCCTTTATTAAACATTTAAAATATTTACAAATTAATATGAAAAAAAAAATCGATTTTACTGGTTTTCTAAGGCCAAACCCGGGAGTGAGTGAGTGAGTGAGTGAGTGAGTGAGTGAGTGAGTGAGTGAGTGAGTGAGTGAGTGAGTGAGTGAGTGAGTGAGTGAGTGAGTGAGTGAGTGAGTGAGTGAGTGAGTGAGTGAGTGAGTGAGTGAGTGAGTGAGTGAGTGAGTGAGTGAGTGAGTGAGTGAGTGAGTGAGTGAGTGAGTGAGTGAGTGAGTGAGTGAGTGAGTGAGTGAGTGAGTGAGTGAGTGAGTGAGTGAGTGAGTGAGTGAGTGAGTGAGTGAGTGAGTGAGTGAGTGAGTGAGTGAGTGAGTGAGTGAGTGAGTGAGTGAGTGAGTGAGTGAGTGAGTGAGTGAGTGAGTGAGTGAGTGAGTGAGTGAGTGAGTGAGTGAGTGAGTGAGTGAGTGAGTGAGTGAGTGAGTGAGTGAGTGAGTGAGTGAGTGAGTGAGTGAGTGAGTGAGTGAGTGAGTGAGTGAGTCTGCTGCCTGCTCAACAGAGGGTCGCCGAAAGAAGGATCTGAAGTGCCGGTGTTTCGGCTACAAAAACCCGCCGAACTGATCCGAAACCAGCCCAATTTTTATCCACCCGGGAAACCGCCCAATCTGCAGGCTGCACCGCTTAACTGGATGTCGCAGCAAGGGAAATGCTAATATTCAAGCATTGCTGGATAGGTATCGGATCATATTTTTTTTCTCCCCTCCGATCTCCGATCTAGCGTTCTGGGACAGTATTGGCACGATACCGATGACGTGGATCGGATAGGGTCATCCCTAGTTATTAGTGCCTGCTTCAGTAGTCAGCAGATTATTTTATTTTAGAGTGTTTGAGTAGTAGACAGGCTAAAAATGGTTCCCTTTCAAAAGGGAACTCGTGCTGCGTCCCCTAGGGGTCGCTATGGGGAATGCCTTGGGCGTGACCGGTGTCTGAAGTGGAAATCTAAACACAATAATGAACTTGACATTGGCAGGCGGCAGCCTATGACGTCACTACAGGTGAGATCGAGAGTATAAAACAGCACCTGTG